GCTTGTTCGCATTCCTTTCTCAGCCACGGTAAAATCAATTAATCTACACATTTATTTCGTTTAATTTGATTTTGTTGTTCTTACTAGATGGTTTACAGTCTCCCTGGTGTAGAGGTCTCATGCAATAAACCTACGAGAGTTAAGATCTTCCTTGGAGGTGACGAGAGGCGCCATATCTTTCATTGGGAATTTACAGTCAAATTCGGGGTAATGAAAAAATCAGCCTTCATTCTAGTAATTTAAATAGCATTGTAAACACAAGTTACGGTGGCCAACAACTGTCACGGCAAAAGAAATAACCTCAGCGCAAAAGTAAGAGACTGAGACTCATGGCAAAAGAAATAACATCACGGCAAAGAGAAAAACCGGCGGCAAAACAAAGAGACTCGTGGCAAAACAAAAAGACTCGCGGCAAAAGTAAAAGTCTCACGGCGAAAAGAATAGCCACACGGCAAAAGAAATACCCTGACGGCCCTCACGGCATTAAAGAGAGCGTGGGGACTGGGGCGAGTTGTCGAGGTGCACCAGTCTTTTTGAGTCGAGTCGTTTTGTTTTGTTTTGCCGTGAGGTTATTATTTTTGCCGCGAGGCTATTCTTTTTGCCTTGAGGTTATTTCTTTTGCGCGAGTCTTTTACTATTGCCGTGAGGTTATTTCTTTTGCCGTGACACTTGTGGGCCNCTGAGCTATGAAGCCACACATTGGGAGCGAGGTCAATTAACTGAGTTCATATCTTCCCGTGAGGAGTGAAGAAGAAATATAAGGGAGTTCATATTTTCCCGTGAGGAGTGAAGACGAAATATAAGGGAGTTCATATCTTCCCGTGAGGAGTGAAGAAGAAATATAAGGGAAGATATGAACTCAATTAATTGACCTCGCTCCCAATCTGTGGCTTCATAGCTCAGTTGGTGGAGCATCGCACCGGTATTCGCGGAGGTCACGGGTTCGAATCCCGTTGAAGCCCTGATTTTTTCACGCTTCTTTTTTCCAATTGCTTAAATTGGAAACTTTACTGCGATGATCATTCTTCACTTTCAAATGCGTGTTTCTCAAGCGATCTCCCTCATACCGGTTTACCAAAGTTACACCAAGTGTCACTTTTCGTTTTTTTAGATAAGTGAAGTTGGCAAGCTACGTGAAATTGATCTCCTTCATCGCTATCATGACTGCTATCGATTGACAAAGATTATTGGCTTTCTTAACAACGTCGAGATTTTTTCAGAAGTTCCTAAAGAGCGATGGTCGTACAGTCTTCCAAGTTGCAGTTGGAATGACAAGAAAGAGGGCCAAATGAAAGTTGTCGTATTTGTCTCCTTTGAAACCACAGCGAGTAACCAGACCTTTACTCAGTGCCTTAGATTTGACTTTGGCAAGAAGCCCTTTTTATTGAAAGGATTAAATGTGGACGTAGCAAGTGAGGAGGCCTTGGACACGCTCTCAGCCTTGCGACAAGAACTGAAATTGCATTCCTCTGTATGGAGAGAGGGGTCAACGGACATTGTTCCATGGCCAGAGACCGCCGACATGGGCAGTCAAGATCTACTGAAGGAGTACAAACTGCCTGAGAGGATCGAGAATGTAGTTTCAGCGCAGATAATCGACGGAAACATGACAGTGGACAACTATAAAAGAGTGATGCATCAACTGTTGTTTACTGAGGAGCTCTTCATGAAAAAGGCAATTTCAAGGTAAACGTCCGTAGGTGCTCATGAATTTATGTCACAAATAACAGACAGTTATATTGATTGATGCATTTTACAATGATCCCCAAGTTGCTAATTTTAAAATAACTGTCATTTTACTTTACTTTTAATATGCGCTCTTTCGGTCAGCGGTGATCGACGGCCTTATACTCGGAGTGATAACAACTTGACTGAGCCTGAACCAGAAAATCCTAGTTGCGGTTTGATTGTAAAGACCCAAAGGTGTCAAAGTTCGATAATGGCTCTGAACATGCGTAGAGAGAATGATTAATGCTGGCTCAACTTCCGAAATCACTTAGTGGCCCTGACTCTGGCTACTGGTCAAAACGACTCTGGCTTCTGAGATTGTATTGTGCATGTCATTTTCGTCAGACGATCTACGACAACAAACGGCGACACTAATAAAACAGTAATATTCTTGGCGCTATGTTCACCCCCTTCTGCCTCCTAGGCTACTATTTCCTGGGCAAAGGCATGACCCATTCATTGAAAGAAAACTAACAACTAGTTTTATTTCCTCTTCATAGCTTCGTCCTTCAGAATGTCCGGTTAGATTGTCAGCAGAGTATCAGTGATGATTGGTCTGGAGCGGTTTATGCTGGAATTGGCGAGTTGTTTGGAATTGTTCAATTCCACGAAAATGAATCCCTCCAACCAGATGATGCAGCAGGTAGACTTCTCATCAGAAAAGTAAATTCTGCTTGGATAAAGATGGCCCGTAGCAGTTCGCAAAAGGCTTATGAGGCTCTCCTTCAGAAGGTTGAGAACGAGTGCGTCGCCCTTAAGCTTTCTTCACAGATGTGTGCAGACCTGAACGTGTCTGACGGTGGCCAGATTTATGTGGATGTACAGTTTCAGCTCAATCGAAAGCCTCTTTGCGACTGGCATGCTGCAATCGACAGATTGGGGCCTATCCAACTATGTTTGTTGTTTCCCACACCGGATGCACCGCAAATAAAGCATGAGGTATAATATATTTTATACTAAAAACCTAAAAAGCCGTGAGCCATGTGTGGCTTAGCTTCAATTAAATTTTTCGGTGGTTGGCGAACGTTTATTTAGAAATTGTTAAAAACAGCAGATTTGGCAAGCTTTTTACCGTGGGGAAATACAAGAAATAATGGGCAATGCTGCAAAAAAGTGCACTTTTTCACAGTAAACACAGTCAAATACACAGAGTTGATACTAAATGTGTAATTGATAAGGTTTGTAAATGTACAAGGAAACACGAAGAAAAGTTATCATCAATTTAAGGAAAGATCCAAAAACCGACATAGATGGTCACAATTTTATTCAGAGAGTAACAATCAGATTCTCTGAATAGAATCAAACTTATAATTTGCATTTACATCTGGGTCTTGCCCTTCAGTATAAAATTGACATTCTCATGATTACTTCATTTAACCTGGCCAACTGTTCAAGGCGTATGAATTCCTCTATATCAGTTCTTCGAATCTTCCTGTAGATCTCATTTGGCACAATTTTAAAGGCTATAGCTGACCTATTAGAGGAGTATGCAAGGAATATGTTGTCAAAAAATTATGTCTTGGTCACTTTTCACATAAGTCTCAACACAGCGAACACTGGGTCAACACTACGCTACAAATCAGCTGCTTTTTTATTGCATCATGCTATCACTTTGCTAGATCAAACTAAAATGTCATTCAGTCGATTGAAGAATTTAATGAGGCAATTATTCCATTCGCCCTTGTTCAGTAGATATGAGGTAATTATGACAAACTCGGCGCTACACTCGCCTCCTATCCAATACGGCTTCATTGAATAATCGTTAACTTGGCGTAAACTAAATTGTATATCTGCCGTTCACGCATAAAGAAGTTAGATGATCTGAGGTGTGACAAAGTTAGTTTTTAAACTTAAATCTGCTTTCTTAATTAAACGCTGTTTTGAATGATTCCTAACATCCATTTGTTCTGTTTCTTGGATTTAAGGAGAGACGCCCCTGGAACTGGCTGCCTTTGGACTGCAAACTAAACACCAACCAAAGAGAGGTCATTAAACGCATTTTATCGCCTGGGGACACTTCCTCGCCACTGGTGGTATTTGGTCCTTTTGGAACAGGCAAGACATTCACTTTGAATCAGGCAATCCGTCACCTGGTAACGAAGAAACACAACCGCATCCTGTTATGCACGCAGACGAACAGCGCAGCGGACATACACGTGACACTACTACATGATTATCTAACGGAAGAAAAAGGACTAAAGGCCACCAGACCACTAAGGATTTACCAAACAAACAGGAGGTCAGTGAATTTCGAGAACTTGTGAGCTAATCAAGCAGGCTTCAAAAAGAGACATTAATTCGCTTAATGCATTTCAAAGCCACTCAGAATGTTCCATTGGAAATCCGGGAGTTTGATTAGGCATTGTGGCCTCTTCCCTTAAAGAACACGATCACTCGTATGTTTGCCTTGAAAGGGAACATTATTATTGAGCTAAAGGTTACCTTTAATACTCTGTTCCAAAATGTTTGCTCTACTCTTCATCGTGTTTTATGAGCGATAGTCAATTCGGCTGCGCTTACTTTTGAGCTCATTTTTGGGGTCTCTTCTGTAATCCCATCAGGGACCTTCACTTTTGAGTGGAAGTACGGATTGAGTACAAGTACACAACTTTACAAACTTAGTCTTTTTTATTTCGATTACCACGTTTCATGCACCTCGCCAGTCTCGTACCGATAGTTTCCTATTGAACTGGTCAACAATATGGGGGATTGAGGTCTCTGGAACAAACTAAGATTGTAATTCGAAATTCGCCTTTTTACTCGTGCTTCTACATGTATCTGAAGGTCACCTGTTATAGCCTAGGTAAGACCGTAGCTACGCATACTGTTTTTTATCGACCCCTACTCACCTGGAATGACTAGGACCCTTGTTGAGCGAACTGAGAACTGCGTCAGAGAGATTATCTTCTAAAGTTGCGCCTTTTTGAACCCAATAAGGACCATTCTTCAGTTAAATATTACTGAATCCTGATGTTCACGAGCCCGCCTAAATTCCGTCGTATGCAAATCAGGCGGACAACTCTCTCCTTGTTACGACCAACAAGCTACAATAGCTAAAGTTAACATGTTATTTCTGGTGAGTTTTTGTTATTGATCTTAAGAACACTTTATTAGGTCTTGACAATCGTGCAGAATTAACCTTTTGTTTGTGTTTTTCTTTTAGATTAAATACTGATCCAGAGGTTGCAAAAATGTATGGCTTAATAGCAAACAACGCTTATGTTCTCCCCACGAGAGATGATGTCATTCGACATCGTGTTGTGATCACCACTTTAGCTATGTCTAAGCATCTGATCGAACTGCAACTGAACCATGGCTTCTTCACACACATTCTGGTAGACGAGGCTGCCCAAGCCCTGGAGCCTGAGGCATTAATACCATTGGCTTTAGCTGGGCCGAATACGAAGGTTGTGTTTACAGGAGACCATATGCAGGTAGGGACTGAACTTCAGCATCAACAATTCCGGTTTATCCTGTTTTACTTTGCTTTGCTCTGCTCTACTTTGTTTGTTTGTTTGCTTGTTTGTTTTTTCTTATTTCGTTTAACCAGCTCCATTCAATCATCAATTTTCCTGGCTTTTATCAATTGCTATGACAAAAATTACATTTTTCTCGCGAGGTATATGAGGGTCAATTATCTCCTTCGCAGTCGTTATCTTTTATCGTGACGATGACACAAATAATCACAGAAATAATGGTAGAAATGATGCAAATAATGGATTAGTTGGCAACCTTATCAGCTCTAACAATATTAAGTAGGGATTTATCGATTTTGGTCGTAGCCATGTTCTACTAACCAAAATCTGCTGAGTTTCCGAACTGAATAAAAAGACCTCCAGCAATAACCAACTGAAAACGATAAATTTCTTTAGTTTCATTTGTATCTTTTCCTCTTGAGCTACCTGGATATCGCTATTATGCGTCGGTTAAAACCAGCGAAGCATTTAAGAACTGCAGACTTTAACGAAGCTGTATTATCTTGAGCTGGAATAAATGGATATGTATTGTTCACACTACTGTATTGTTTCCACCTATTTAGATGGGCCCAGAGGTTTACTCGCATTATGCACGAGACTGGGGTCTTCAAAGGTCGCTTCCTGAGAGGCTGTTTGATCATTACTGTGAAAAAAAGGAATCGGATGGCAGCTTGATTTTCTTGACAGAAAACTATCGGAGTCATCCCGACATCCTGCAATTTCCCTCTGATAATTTCTACGGAAAAGAGTTGATTGCCCGCAGTGAACAGGCCTCGCACCCAAGGCTTGGACCACTGTCATTCTTTTCAGTCCATGGAGTTGAGGAAGCGAGAGAAAACTCCTACATTAATGCGGCAGAAGTTGAAGAGATTGTGAAGAGAGTCGAGTTGCTTGCCGGTGACTGGCCAAGGGAGTGGAAAGAAGATCTTTCTCAGATTGGCGTAATATCCGCTTACATGACTCAGGTATTACGATATTCATGAAAGCCCGGCCCTTCGTAACGGGCCAACTAGGCAGGAATGAAAAAATCTTCTAAGAGGTTCTGCATGCAGAAAGTTGAAATGATGTCTTGTTCCTTCGACATTTTTTCTTTTTTCTCTNTAAGTCAGATTGAAGTCCATCACTTACAGCCTGAGGTGCTAGCTTGTAATCGGTCGAATAACTTATTGTAGTGTCATCGGTATAAATGTCTGTTACGGTGCTCTGTAGTACCGAGGGTAAGTCGTTAATGAATGTGAGAAAGAACACGGGAACCAGGATGCTGCCCTGAGGTGCGCCCGAGGTAATTTCTCTTACAGTTGAATGAAATCCATCTTCATACGTTTACGCATTGTTTACGACCACTCAAGTAATCAGCAAATAAAGGCAGGTAATCCTCGCCAACGCCTAGTGCTCCGAGCTTGTTTAGCAACAGGTGATGGTCAATAAGACCAAACGCCTTTTTGTAGTCAACAAAGGCAACGCCCGTAACTTTGTCACTGTCAAGATCAAATAAACTCTGATCCACAAGTCGTATCAGAGCCGTTTCAGTGGAGAATGTTTTCCTGAAGTAAGACTTGAACCTGTGAAGCAAATCATTTTCACGCAGGAAATTACACAGCGTTGGAGGTTTTCCTTCGCTTTGAAACAAAACGAAACGTACACAGACCTTTCACGAAAACAACCACACAACGCGCGAGTAACATCCGTGCGCGGAACAGCTGGGTGCCATGTCTAAAGATAACTTAAGAGGGACTACCTCGGGTATAAGGTCTATCTATATGGGAATTCACTCTCTTACCTTGATAATCTCTTGTTTGGAACTAATCAGTTCTAAAAACATTAGGTAGGAATTTATCAATTGGCATGTTCTGCTCACCATCTCCATAATAAGAGACAACAGAATCAGAAGGATAGACAACAATAACCAGCCGAAATTAAACGATAGATTTTTTTTAGTTACGTTGTGTATCTACAGGGACAAGACGCTAGGGTGGATGCATGGTTATGAGCTGCCAGGATATTTCTATAGCGATACAAAAGCAGAAAAGCAGTTAAGAAATGTATCTAAGAATAAAAACCGGAAAAAAATGCTTAGCTGCTGGGGCTGAGCTAAGCTGCTCTATCTTGAACTGGACTACATAGATCTGTATTGTTAACATTATTGTCATTATTATTTCGACCTGTGTTTTTAGATGAGCCCAGAAGTTTACTCCCGTTATGCACAAGACTGGGGTCTTCAAAGGTCTCTTCCTGAGAGGCTGTTTGATCATTATTATGAAAATATGCAGTCGGATGACAGCGTGATGCTCTTGACAGAAAACTACCGGAGTCATCCTGACATCCTGCAATTTCCATCTGATAACTTTTACGGAGAAGAGTTGATTGCCCGTGGTGACCAGGCTTCGCACCCAAGGTTTGGACCACTGTTATTCTTTTCAGTCCATGGAGTTGAGGAAGCGAGAGAAAATTCGTACATAAACACAGCAGAAGTTGATGAGATTGTGAAGAGGGTCAAGTTGCTAGCTGATGACTGGCCAGTGGAGTGGAAGGAAAAAGATCTTTCTAAGATTGGAGTCATATCCGCTTACATGACTCAGGTATTACGATATTCATGATAACTCGGCCTTTCGTAAAGGCCACCTAGGCAGGAATGAAAAATTCTACTGAGAGGTTCTGAAGAAAGTTCAAAGGATGTTTTGTTTCTTCGACATTTTTTTGTTTGCTGCTGGAAATTTATGTCCTCGTTGCCATACTGAAATATTTTTTGTCGCCTATGCAGTGAAATTGCAAATGTGTACCCGGCAATACGATTTTCGTCTTCGTTTATTTTTAAAAAAATGTTATTTACAGATGCTATCAGGATTATTGACAATACTCCTTTACGTTACGTTTGTAGGTTCGGGCTATTCGAACACAGCTCCGAAGCAAGGGACTGGGGAATGTAACAGTGGAAAGTATTCATAACGTGCAAGGTGACCAAGAGATTTTTCTTGATACATTAGTGAGCTTTTCAGGAGTGACTTTACACTCTAGATCTTTCGTTGATTTCGGAAAAAAATTGTTAACAGTTCCTTGCCAAGTGTGGAAATCCATAGAGGAGAATAAAAGCTAATAACTTCTTCCATTAGCGTTCAAACGATATAAGAAAACGAAACCAACTTGTAGAATTTTCTTAAGCCTTTACTTACACTTGGTTGATCTAGGGATAGCTCTCAATTTCCATTTTGTGTGCGTGCCCACCAAAGAAAGCTATAGTTTGCAGTGTGTGTGCTTTTTTTTTCCGCAGGGAAAGAATTCCGTGCATTATTCATCAGCACTGTCCGTACACATCTAACCTGCCACAGTTTTGACAGAAATCAAGGTAAATCTCGGCCACTCTACTGGGAATTCTTGTCAGACCCCAAGCTCTTGAATACGGCAATAACTAGAGCGATGTCCTTGGTAGCCGTTGTTGGAGATCCCGTCTCGTTGTGCACCGCTGGTGACTGTAGGGGGAACTGGAGAGACTACATCAAAAGGTGCCACGAAGGCGGAACTTTGCATGGAGCATCGTACAAAGAGATAAAGAAGAAAATAGCCGCCCCTCTCGCCAACATCTCTTTAAATCCACGAGCGATCGAATTTGTTCCACAATCAATGGAAGTCAGCAGCAAAGAGCTCAAATCCCTGGAGTTGGCTTCTCAACCAGAAATATCCGATAGTCAACTCTCAAGCTCTGTAGAAAAGAGTGATTTGGAAGTTGACAAGAATGAAAAGAGCTCGGCATTTGGCATGGAAGACGGGTGCACCATCCCAATGAAAGGGTCAGGAATTGAAAGAGATGACGCAAAGGAAGATGTGACGCGAAGAGAACCAACGGCTGAAGGAGAAGAAGAGGAAGAGCAGAAAGCAAGTCCATTCTCATCAGATTCTCCAACAAATGACTTCAATTTTGTGAGAGGATCAGAAGATCAACAAGGAGTCGAATTTTCGTTTCGGGAGGAACCTGAAAGTAGAATTCAGTCTCAAGAAGAAGGAGAAGATAACGTCGGTCAGAATGCTTCTGACGGTTTTGAAGAATTCCTTCGAGAAAGTTTTGAAGACGAAACCGTTTTCCCGAGGTACTTAGATAAGATAATCAAGGCACTCGTGGAAAAGTGTAAAGCGACCAAGGAAAAAGAAGCTCGGGTTCATGGATCATCGGAAAATGCGTCGTTCCCCTCATTGCACGCAGCCACAAGCGGGAGCTACAAGCAGAAGTCAAAATCTGGCAAACTTTCAGTCAAACGAGCAAAGTCAAGTTCTTTCGACTATTCTTCTGAAGATTACGAAGTCTGCGTCATCAATGGTCGCCAGGAAGTTCGTATTGTAGATCTTGGATTTCAGCAGACGTCCACTGTTCGACATCAGAGGCTCACTGCAGTCGCTAGGCAGGAGGATTTTCTTGATCCACAGATATTGCAGGAATTGCTTGTTAAAGAGCCCGACAAGTATCTACCTTGCACACTTCGTCTTAATTCCGAGATTATTCGCACGGCGTATGCGGAAATATCGGATACAAAGACCCCAGACATCAAAATCAGAGGAAGAGTCCGGGGAGCGTTCGATATGGATCACGTGGTTGTCGAGAAAACGGATTACCAACCTTCTTCGTGTGATGGTCTTTCTGGGTGCAAAGGAAAAGTAGCTGGTAAGTTTAATAGCTTCGCTTGAACGCTAGCCCTTATAGTATCTTCATTTCAAACGAACAACAGTTTGTAAAAGTAAGTGACAAATCATTTCTTTTCGTTTTAAATCTACCAGCAAAACCCATATTTCATTTGCCTCTTCTTCTTTTTTTTTTTTTTAGTTTCCTTCCTTCAAATTTTCTTTCCACGTTACAAATTACATGAACTACAAGTCCATTTTCCAGGTCTCGTTTCGGTAAAATTCAGTAAACAACCCCTCATATAATTATCTTTACGATCGATCAGGGTATTTATTGTAGTGCTTGTTCAACTAACAGTAAAATAATCCTTTGAAAAAATCCCTAATGACTGTTAAAAATCTTATCCATAGGTGTACTGAATCATATCATTAGGCCACACGAACGTCAATACGTGTGCAAAGCGGATTACGAAAGCCGTGGAGTAATGATTCCAATCAACAAGTCCATGTCCAAAATAGTGATTCTCTCTGACAATAATTTGAACGGTTTACCTCTTTACAAAGAAATGCATGATGGGAAGGAGAGACCATTTAAGGTCGAAGTGATGGATTTCACAGAAGCACTGAGTGGAAAGTTCTTGTTTCTTGTCCAGTACCTGCAGTGGAGGTCAGATTGCCATAACCCTTTGGGCATCGTTATACGGAAGCTAACTCAAGGGAATACTTTGTCTGACAGCATGAAAATTTTATGCGCCGAACATGGAGTGAGAGATTGGTTTAGCAAAGAGAGTAAAGCAGAAGTCCAAGCAAAGTTCCCACCAGGATGGTCAATACCAGTTGAGGAATATGGAAGTCGCAAGCAAATTGAAGGGGCGTTCACGATTGATCCCGACAATTCCAAGGATCTAGATGATGCACTTACACTGGAACAGCTCTCAGATTCTGTGAACCGGGTGGGAGTTCACATTGCTGACGTGAGTTATTTTGTGGAGCCAGGGACCCAGTT